ACCTTCCTCTGGTGAAGCCATGCTGGCTGTCACAGATCACACGCCCTTTCCTCATGTGATCAAGCATGTCACCCAGGATGATCTGTTACATGATCTTCCCAGGCACAGAGGTGAGACTCACCGGCCTGTAGTTCCCGGGGTCCTCCTTGCTCCCTTTCTTGTAAATGGGAGTGACGTGACCCTTCCTCCAGTCATCCGGGACCACACCTGACAGCCACGACTTCTCAAATATAATGGAGAGCGGCTTGGCAACCACCTCAGCCACCTTCAGAACCCTGGGATGCACGCCATCCGGCCCCATAGACTTGTACACATTCAGTCTCGTGAGGCTCACATCCATCCACAGAAAGCTGCTCACTCATTTGTAGTAAGGTGGCATTACTCCTGATTTCATATGTTTATGGAGAGCTGAGTTCCCACCCACCAGGTGCAACGGCGTTCCCAAGAACCAAGTACCTACTTCCCTCCTCGTAACTCACAGACTCAGCAGCACCTTACAGCAGTTTTCTTACAGTAATCTGCACTTGCATAGCTTTAAGAACATAAAATAACCTACCCATCTTCAAAGGCGTCATACAAAATTTAAGACTACTTATGAGTATTTATGTTACATGCCTTGTAGGGCTCTTCACTCTGTAAATACACATGAATCATACAATTATAGAATCACTGAGGTTGGAAAAGACCTCCAAGATCATCCAGTCCAACCACCCACCTACCACCAATGTTTCCCCACTAAACCATGTCCCTTAATACAATATCTGAACATTTCTTGAACACCCCCAGGGACAATGACTGAAACCATATGAGCTTCCTATGGCATCTAATCTAGTGTGTGGTTAAAATAAGCTGGGCAATGCTACAACATACTGTTCAGAACCAACAACTAATGGGTCTTCCAACATTGTTAAGATTTCAATGGTAAGTTGAGACCATTACTGAGATTGCACTCAAGTAATTGCAATGTCAGCCAAATACCAAGAAAAAAATAAATGCATTAAAAACACCCAGGCTCATAACGTCAATAACACAACAGTTCAGCAGCCAGCAGGCTGATCAATACCTAGACAGATACTCATTAATATGAATGTAAAAAGCTCGTTGAAGAAATTGCCTACCTGTATGGAGAGTATGGGTCAAAGCACGTCTTGGTGACTTCTGTTATCTCCGGGTTGCAGCACTCCCCACCATCGAAGTTGTACCTCTCGTAATTGCAATCCATGTCACACACTCCGTTCTGCTTCTTCTTGTTGAAGAGCGTGTGGCGTACATGCCGGCAGTCTCCTCCGTCGTACCCGGTCAAGGTGTGGTTGCACTCAGGATCGCAGTTCTCGTCCCCGATCTTGCTGATATCACAGTTGGCCAGGATGAGTCGGTGCCGAAGGGATGAGTTCTTCACCTCCAGCACCTCCAGCTCCCAGGTGATGTTGTAGCGGCTGAAAGCCTCATTTAAATGCTGGTGCTGGAACTCGATCTGCTGCTGGCTGACTGTGGGGTTCTGGTGTTTGTCGTCGTAGAGATTTACCACACGGTAGCGAACGATCTTGTTACGGCGGAAGCTGGGGAGTTTGTTGTAGCTGGCAATGACATCCGTGTTGTCACAGACTGTCTGTCCACAGAGAGGAGGCTCTAGGCTGGTATCCAGCAAATAGCCGTGATGGTAGCTGGACTTGCTCTGAGGACTGCTGCCATCCTTCATGGGAGACCAGGTGTTTTTCACATTCAGTAAACTGTCTTGAAGAACTAGCTGAGGTAGAGGCATGTCTTGTCTGTGAATAGCCTGGCCCATGTCCAACAAGATCTCCTTCTGAGACCTGGCTGTCCTCCAGAGGCTGAAGTGCTCCACATAACCCCGATAGTTCTGGTTCAGGGCATTTCCTCCAACCATGAGCACCTTGCACTTCAACGTCAGAAGACTGAAGATGCTGCCCACCTGCTCTCCGCTTGTGGCTACCTGGGCACCATTGACGTAGAGTTTCATCAGGTGCCCATCGTACGTGGCAGCCAGGTGAACCCACTGGTTGGGGAGGTAGCTGCGATGTGCTGCAATGGTGGTCACTTTGCGAGCACGGTCTGTCTTCAGAGAGAAGAAATAGCGGGGGTCTCTATTCCCCTGGTCACTGACGGTGTTAATCCCCAGGACCCATCCTCGGTCACGGGAGGTGTAAGAACATTTGTCATACAGTCCTATGTGCCCCCAAAAGAGAAATACGGATAAATAAGGATGACAGAGCAAATAAAGCAATTAGTCTTTATATTGTATAAATCTCTCCCTAGATATGTATAAACATACGCTCATCTATGCACGTTAGAAAGTTAGTGCACAAGAAAGACATTAAATCATCCAGCACACAGCTGTGGGAGGTCACGTTAAGATTTGCTATTAAAGATTTGCCAGTGGCATGTATGAGTGGGATTCCCCTTTTCTGACCGAAGACAAACATTGTTTGCAAATTCCTATCAGTAGGAAGTTGTACTGTGCATTTGGTCTTCCCTTCATTCAAGCCATACATCACCAGCTGAAAACAAGAATGCTCTTGAGAAGCAATCCTTGTCCATCTCACTCATATCTCACACCCCTGAACCCTTTAACTAGCAAGGGCCAGAGGCAAGTAGGTACGAAATCCAACTACTGCACAGTTTGGAATAATCTTCGTATGATCAAATACCCAAACTTTGCTGAGAGCAAGTGTAACATTTTCAGGCTGCCTTCAAACTCATATCCATGAAAAAAAAAAAAAAACCATCACAAAAACAGTAGTCAGTGGTGTCCATGAATAATTTATCTCTTACACAAAGTGCAGTTCCACACCTAAGGTTCTCTCGATACATCCTCACCAACAAGAGATGGAAAGAACCTCATTCCTCCCAGCTTGGGACAAGGGCTGGCAAGTTAAAGATGTATATTTCCATCTTTCAATTCTCAAAGGCCACGGGCTGCGGTGAGACCCTTCGACTGCAAAAATAATCATTAGAGCCTTCAGCACCAATGGCCTTCCTACTACCAGCGCACAGAAACTCCTTCCCCCAAGCCTTCACTTCCAAAAACCTAACCAAAAATCATAAATCTCTGACAGATGAAAAGACTAAATATCCCCTTACCTCACCTCTGCACCCTAACCCTCCCAGCACTACAACCAAATAACATCTTCTGCTTCTGACTAAGTTGCTCAACAGCCATCTGTTAACAATCACTCATTAACAGTGCAGTCTTGTCTAGTATCAACAGAGCAAAGGTTACAGGAGCATTCACTGTATTTTTCCTCCCCTCTCCCAGCACCCACCTTCCCCCCTCTCCTCACACCCTTCCCTTCTCCTCCCCCTCCCCTCCCCCCCTCCAAAAAAAGGCTTCTGATGGGAAAGTTAAAAAAATTTAAACAGGGCTTTTTTCTGCACGCTGGTATTTTGCTAGGGACTCTGAGCTCCCCCTTTTCCTGTTTCCTTTGGAAGAGAGATCCCAGGGTTCGGAAGGTAATGTGTTTATTCATCTGTAGGGCGCACTCAGTTCAAAACCTTTCTGAGACCAGCTTCTAGTTTATACTACTACTTCTGATCACGGGAAAGGAGAGGAGGAGGAACAGCAAAGGAAAAAACAAGTATGCCAAAAAACCCCCGACATTTGCTGGGATGGATGTTTACCTGAGAAACTCATGATATGAAAGCCAAAGCTACCGGTGACCTTCTGGAGTCAGGGATCTCCTGTTTTTTGAGGGTTTCTTTAGTTTTTTTAATGGAATAAATACCTTTAGAAGGCACTCATTTTTGAGATGCATGACAGCCCATAAAGGTCTGCATATTTATAAAACTCAAATGAAGGTATTGTCCAACAATGTCCAATGAATGAGAAGACAGTTGGCAAGTCAAGTCCCTCTCCTGCATAAGTCATAAAAAAAAGTTCCAAAAATGATGTTTTATTAAAAAGTTGTCCTGCCAGTACAGCAGGCAGAGGTCCCTGAGAGCTGGGCAAGCATGGAAACAGTTGTCCTTGGGTGTGAGGGGGCATTACTTCTTCTGGCAGTGACTTCATTTGATTCTCCCTTCTGCCCCAAAGAAACATCTGAATGCGCTCTGTATGGAGGTATGGCATCCGTGTAAACCAGGGCTCAAAGGTGAAGAGATGGGATGTTCCAAAATATACCCAGTTCTGGAAGATTAAACTCCCAGGGGAGTCCATTCTGTTTCAATAACTTTTTTGTTATTGAATATCTTCTTTTCCAGCGTGGGAAACAGTGAAGAAAAAGAGTAAAAGCATACCATATAAAAGGAACCCAGCATGAAAGCCACCTCCCTTAACAAGGAGACCTTTTTATAGGTACGCCACGCTCTCACTTTATTATAATAAGGCCATTTGAACCAGTCAGACATTTTGTAATGGAGTTTTTGCCTGCCACCAAATACCAACCCAGTGAAAGCAGGAGAAGCGATGCAGACATGGGCTAGTCCTAACAAACACACCTGAGAAGCTGTGGGTCTGCAGCCTGGCCCAAGGCCCCGCTGGGTTCTGACCCAGGTGCAGCAGTCAGCCCGATGCCACCTTCGCCACTCTGCAGCCTGGTGCCTGGTTCTCAAAGTGCCCCACATCCCCGCTGTCAGGTGGAGGGCTGAAGTCCACCACACGGTCTGCCAGGGTTGAGTTTTTGGGGCTTTCTGTACCGACTGGCTGGAAATATTCCCCCAAAGAATGAATAAATTATCATGGAATGGAAATTCAGTTTCCTGGCCAGGATTAAAGAACATCTTCCCCTCTCTCTGAAGTGCTGCATGATGCTAGTGATTGACCTCAGCTGAACAGATGGAGCTGCTGGAGGAATACTACAGAATAGTAGCAATCCTCCCTTGCCTTTGAGCACTTAAACCCTGATGTGATGCAACGTGTCTTGAGTTTGGCTCAAACAGCTGCCATCAATTCGAGATTTACAGGGAGCCAAAGGAGGGCAGAGAAAGAAAAAAAACAGTGACAATAGGGACACCACTGAACATGCCAGTATGAAAGCTGCTGAACCGAAACAGTCTACTATTCCAGTTCCTTACATTTTCTAGTTTAGGGCAAAGGTCATTACTGAATCCATATGCCAAATCCAGTATTCTTTTCTTAAACTTTTACTATTACATTCAACTCTTGATGAAAAGATGGATTGATCCCAATGCCTTCAGCAGAAAGACTTGTTTTATTCTTAAAAGAAAGGAAAAAGAATAAGAATAGGGATGAGAAACACACACTCCCTATAACTTGCAGAGCTGTACCACTTCTTTATGACCCTCTTCTGCCTGTATGCTGTACCTACTTTCCCACTCCTTCACTTACTTTTGGCTGCAGACTACGATTCCTCCGGCTAAGGGAGTGTCACTTTTCCGTTTTGTCCCCAGCACAATGAAACTTATTTCAGCTGGGACTTAGGATGTCATAATAAAAGAATTTATTACTTCTTCTATGACAACTAATAAGGGCAAAACCATTGGAAGAGGGACATGTCAGATAATTGCCAGAACTTCTGAAAACTGAATAATTTGATGTTTTCACAATTTATTTCAATTTAGTAAAAGGTTCCATAGCCATGAGTTATTTCTTAGACATAATTAAGAACACTTTAAACACGAAGAGGCCTCTTTTACCCCAAACAAGGCTGTTTTTGAGCAAAATCACCCCCTCACAATGGTTCACACTGAATTTCAAAATTCAGCTGTGACCGCAACCAACATTTACATGAAAAACATACAGAGTGTAGATGCTCATTTACACAGAGAATTCTTTACAATAACGTCGCAGAGGACATTTTTAGCTACTTTGTGTCCCTCAAGAAACTAAGAGCGGTGTAAAGAGGCCTCATGGTAAATGAGACTCAATCCAATGACTGCAAAACCACAATTTGGCGAATATGCCTCAAGTTCCTGAGCCAAGAAATGGTGCGAAATAAAACTGATGTTTGTTTTCCCCACAGCAATTAGATTAAAAAAATATGTACAAGTTTCATACAGCAGCAAACAGTTTTCCTCACTTCTGCTCGCCTTGAGTTGCTAGAAAGGGACGGAGCGGTAGCTGAGAGAACACTGACAGCCCTGCAAACCCCTATCTGAGGGACTTCTTTCCCTGCAAAGCTCCTGTTCCTGAAGCCCAAGGGACTAAAACCGAATTTATCTTTTATTAAAAAAAGAAGAGGCACAAGTTCAGCTTTCCAATAAGAGTCATTGGTAACCTTCCCTCCCCACAAGCAGTGAGTCAGACGGCTCTGGAGGAGTGCATGAACACACCACGATGCCACGATCCTGTGCTCAGCCAGGGCAGGGAAGGCCCACCGGGCTCCTTCCAGCCCCGTGATGCTCATCCCTTGTAGGAGAAGTGAATTCCTAGGCACCGAGATAGCGGGTACAGCTGGAAAACTGAACCCAGGAGGCCCAGTGCCAACAGTCAAACATGGAAAACCAGTAATACAGTTTCTCCCTTTATTTTTGAAGTGAAATGTCACTTCTTTGGCTACCAAGCCACAGCTACTCCCAAATACAACTGCTCATCACACCTGATCGCATCCAGGAAGCATTAAACAAGGCCAGCACATGACTCTTTATTCAGAGGGCAGTGAGGCTCAGAGCTGCGGGTGCCCATCCCTGGATGTGCCCAAGGCTGTGGATGGGCCCTGGGCAGCCTGAACTGGAGGGGGTCCCAGCCCATGGCAAAGGTTGGGACTGGATGGGTTAGAGGCCCAGTCCAAGCCATTTTATGATTCTATGGTGATTTCTACCTCAGTTTGTTCTTAGGATCCCACTGGAAACTTACAGCCATGCTGTCGAGCCCTGTGTGCTGGATGGGATGGTGCAGCATGAGGCCAATGAGCAACACTGTCTGCTGAATTCTGAGGGAAGATCTGGCTTTGGGCACAGGGCACTGCATCCTCGCAGTGCCAACAGGAGCACACAGCTCCCAGGAGCTGTCAGGAGCCGCCGCAGAGTCGGGAACTCACAGCTAGAGGCTGAGGCTGCAAGTCATAAGCAGCTCTCTGTGGGCAGAGTTTGAAAGAAGAGGCCAGAGCAGCCCGTGCGAGCTGCTGTAATTCGTTTTAACATTATCAATAACAGACTCCAGGCCTCCCTCGGCCCCTTCAGTGCCAGCTCTTGCATCTTGCTAACAGCATGCTTCCCGGTAATCAGCCCAGCCGTAGAATTACCTAAGAATTTATTTCTCTACGCAGAAA